TGGGTGGACTGGCCCCGTGGGGAGCCTCAGGCTGTGAGTCAGCACCGCCCTGCGGCCCTGGAATTGGAGGTGAGTGTTTGGGTCTGACTGTACTTGCCCACTTCTAGACACCAGGGCAAAGCCGACAGACACCCCCATCCCGCCCCAGAGGCAGCCTGTGGTGTTCAGGGCTGGGGGACGATCGATCGTGCGACGAAGCTGATGGCAGGGGAGTGGCCGGTGGGCTCAGAAGGGCCCACGGGAGGTAGAGGGGGCTGTGGATGGGGAGCTGTGGTGTTGGTGGGGGATACGGTACGGGGGCCGTGGTCTAGGGGCTGCGTATGGGATGGTGTTGGACAAGGGGCTAGAGTAGGAGGGCGCTCTATAAGGAGTTGGAGTGTGGGCAGTGTGCTGTCGGGGCTGTGGTGTAGGGGATGGAGTATGAGGGCTGTGGTGTAGGGTGTGTGGTGTAGGGAATGGACTGTATGAGTTGTGGTATAGGGGATGGAGTGTGGGGGCTGTGGTGTAGGGATGGAGTGGTGGTGGACAGGCAGGAATTGGGGAAAGAGTGGAAAGGACCATTCACCCAGCTGACCAGCCTAGGCAGAGGCCCCTCCAGGAGAAGCTGGGGGCAGGAGTGGTCATGTGGCGCTCAGCCTACCGGGAGATGGTGGGCGCTACGTGGTCCGGAGCAGAGGGTCCTGACACCCCCCCAGCACCACCCCCACCCGCACCCCCGTCACCCTTCCTTCCAGCAGGCCGGGGTCTGGGAGCAGGGGCTTCTTTCTCCCGTGGGCTGAGCGGGGGCATTCTGCAGGCTCCAGCCCTGGTTGGTTGCAGGGGGGGCCTCACCTGGGGTCCTGGGTGGGGACCCCTGTGGGCTGACGGGTGAACTCCGACAGGCCCTGCCTTTCTCCTGTGGAGCCCCTGCTGGTTTCGAACTGCTGACCTTGTAAAGTGCACTGTGTGTGGACGGATGTGGGCGGCTGGCTCTGTGGCCTGGGTCCACTTCCTGCCAGCTCTGAGCGCTGATCCAGAGGGCCTGGACACCACCCCCAGCTCCCTCAGCTGGGAGGGCAGCCGCCCACAGGGGACAGCACTGCTGACCCCCGAGCCCAGGCCCTAAGCCACCCCACCCCTGGGGCCACTGGGGGCCTGCAGCCCCGTTTATGGCTCTGCTTCAATGCCAGCCCCACAGGGGTTGCCACACTCTGCTATGGCCTGACCACCTCCCGTCTGGTCTTGGGCAAGGTGACCAGACGGGACAGTCTGATTTTAACAATTTTCTCCGCGTCCCGCGGCATTTTAAGAAAGTCCCGGCTTTGGGGAAGCATGCACGATGAGCTCGGGTATACCACATGGCTGTTCCGCCAGGATGTGTTTTATCAATGCCCCACTTTTGTCCCGCTTTACCAATGCTAAAATCTGGTCACCTTAGTCTTGGGGGTGCTGGCCCTGCCCCCAACATTGCAGCATTGACGCCAGCCGGATGCCCGAGGTCCAAGTGTGGGGAGGGCCCTCTTCCCAGGGGTCCAGTGACAGGGGCAAGGAGGGGTGGACTTCGGTCTCCCAGGCGTCCTGGGTCCAGTCCACCTCCTCCGAGTGTGGCTTCCTGCCTTCTCTGCGTTCTCAGGACACCGGCCACATAGGGCCTCCCCAAACCTGGTGCTCTCACTCATGGACTCATGGGCCCTCCCTCGCTGGCCCAGGCGACCGTCCCCTGGGACGTCCCTGGCCGAGAAAGCCCACGCCTACCCCAGGGGCCTCCACCAAGCAGCTGTGAGTGTCCCAACCCTAGGGGACCTTAGGGGACCCCAGGGCCAGCAGTGTCCCTCCTGAACCGCCCCTCTGAAATCCCAGGCATCCAGCGGGAGGGGCTGGCAGGGCAGTGGCCAGTGCCAGTGAGAGAGTGGGCATGGAGGGCCTCCAGAGGCAGAGCAGGGCCTGCGTCTGGTTCAGCAGAGCCGAGGGCAGGCCAGCAGGAATGGGTGTGTCCGTGCCTGTGAGATGCTGACCACCCGTCCAGCACGTCCACTGCAGGGCTGGGCAAGCCAGGCCTCCGTGGCTACTGTAAATCAAGACAGGAATGTGGGCTGGTCAGTTGTCCTTGGGAGGGCGGTCGGGCGGGCGGGAACAGAGGTCCCAGGTGGCCCTAGGCCACCTTGACCACGCAGTGCTGGGTGGACCCCTGCCCCGCCTGTCCCCACTGTGCACATGGGCAGACCAAGGCCCAGGGAGAGCAGGGTGGTCAAGGGAGGCCGGGACCCAGGGTCCCCCAGGCGGTGACCAGAACCCTAGTCCAAATGAGGGATCGAGAAAGTGTCCCAACCCAGGCTTAATTGGTGGTTCCAAGACTCCCCCACCCTCACCCCCACCCCACAGTCCTGAGTCTGGGCGGTGGCATTCCCCAGAGCTTAATTTAAAGCCCAGTGTCAGCCTGCCCCTCCCCCGGCTCCCTGACTCCCCCCCCTCTAATTATCTCTGCCGCTTCCCTCACGCACTATCACCCCCACCCACGGCTGCCGCCCGCCATGCCCACCACCTGCACCTGGGAGCTGCGGCTCAGCAGGAAGAGGGTGCCCTGCCTGTCAACACCCCAGCTGAGCCCACTCCCCTTGGTCCCTTACTCTTCCTACCGTGGGGAAACTGAGTCACGGGGTCACATGCCCGGGGCTGGCATCCAGCAGCCCGGAGTGGCCTCTCTGCCCCAACACCTCAGTTTCTTCATCTGCAAAATAGGGGCTGACCATCCAAGGCAGGTCACCTGTGTGTGACTTGGGGGCGGGGGGGGGGGTGCCACCTAGAGGTCACCCGTCTGTGACAGCAGATTACCTGTGTCCCCTGCACACAGTCTTTACCCTGGGCCCCAGCATGTGACCTTATTTGGAGTTGGGTCCCTGACAGTGGCCGGCTGGGGCAAGTGGGCCCTAGCCCCGTGACGGGGTCTCTGTGGTCAGAGGGGACCAGGACTGCCCGAGGGAGGCCTGCAACCACAGAGGCAGAGCCAGGAGGGATGTGGCCACAAGCGCAGGGGCCAGGAGACCAGGCCGCGCCCCCCTGCTGGCCTCCGGTCTGAGTGTCCGGTCCCTTGTCCTGTGCTCACCTCATGGGACTTTGTCGTGGGGACCCTCCCTGGGCACCTGGCCTCAGGGTGCCTTCTGCAATGGCTCTGGGGCCACCATGTCCCATCTGAGCTGTAGGGAGACGGCCCAGGGAAGGGCCTGCCGTGCCATGGGTGGGGGGGATGCGCACCTGAGCCCGGTCCCACTAACGCCCCTCCCCCTACCCTCCCAGCTCTACGAACTGGATGGGGACCCCAAGAGGAAGGAATTCCTGGACGACCTGTTCAGCTTCATGCAGAAGCGAGGTGGGTACCCCCCACCCCTGCTGAGAGCGGCCCGCGGCGCTGAGCTGCCTACGGCCCCTTCGAGAGGGGGAAACTGAGGCCCACAGGTCATGGAGCTCCTGAGCCCCCCAGCAGCCGGACGGGGCATGGCCAGCCCTGGGCCGTCTCTGCTTTGTCTGGGGCCTCTGGCTGCCCCTCCCCCCACCAGCTTCTGTAAACAGCCAGCCTGGAGGGAAAGATGAAAGGAGGGGCCGCCTCTCACACACACACACACACACACACACACACGCGCGCTGCCCAGCAGCCTGGGGTTAACCCCTCCAGAGCGGGGGGCAGAGGAATCAGGATAGCTGAATGGGCCCCCCCTTGGTGTTATCAGCCAGGCCCAGCCCTGGCCTTGGCCCTGCTGCTCCCCCTGTGTCCGGAGAGCCCCCTCCCTCCCTCTCTTGTTATCATCTGTTCCCTCCTGGAGCCCCTTCCCCGAGCCAGTCCACCGTGTGGCCACTGCCCGGTCCAGGGACTGGGGTCCAAGCATGAGGGGCTGCCCCAGAGTGGGAGCAGGGCAGGGGCTACCAAGTCTTTGGTGCGGCTCGTGACCACACAGGGCCTCGAAGGTCAGTGTCCAGACAGCCTTGCCTCCCTCACCATGGAAGCCAGGATCCAACAAACTCCTATGCACCCCTCAAAACCCCAGCTTCAATGCCCTCTCTTCCCCTGCCATCACTGCGGATCCCTCTGTGACTGGGGCCCCCTGGGCTGGAGAGCGCCTCCAGCCCCCACCCTCACCCCAACACCAAGTCCAGCATACGTTTCAGCTAGAGGGGGAGTAATCTAACACACATAACTCTACACCTACACACATATAGAGATATACACACATACAGTCATCTACACAGATACACACAGACACATACGTACACAGTTACATACACACACACCCAGACAGACACAGACATATACACAGATACACAAACACACACACACAGACATACACAGATACATACACACGAACAGGTCCAGCACCTGCTGGACCAGCGCCCTGAGGGTCCCTGGCAGCGCCCCTTCCACCGGTGCCCTTCCTCCTTCAGTGCCACTCCCGGTGGCCCCTTCTGGTCTTGCCAGGGCAGAGGCAGCCTGCATCCATCCATGGGGGTGGGACCGGCCATCTTCCCCTCCCCCAGCTGGAGCTGCTTGCTTGGGACCCTGAGGGTGTGGGAGGTGGTGCCGGTGGGACCCCAGCAAGCCCATCCCCCGTTTAAGCTGGACCCTGCTAGCTATAGGTGATCCCATGGGGGCAGCCTCCTTCTGGTGGGGCTGCTGGGCCCTGAGGACCTCGGAGGGGTGGGGAGGTGGGGGGTGCTACGGAGGAGTGGCAGGAGGAAGGGGCTGGGGTATCAGGGAAATGAGGGTGGAGGTCAGGGATGGACAAGGGGCCCCGGGGTGGGGTCATCGTCAGGGAAATGAGGGTGGAGGTCAGGGATGGACAAGGGGCCCCGGGGTGGGGTCATCGTCAGGGAAATGAGGGTGGAGGTCAGGGATGGACAAGGGGCCCCGGGGTGGGGTCATCGTCAGGGAAATGAGGGTGGAGGTCAGGGATGGACAAGGGGCCCCGGGGTGGGGTCATCGTCTGAGCGTTTCAGATAACCCCCCTCCCTCCCCAGGCCAGCCCCCTTCCCCCCTACACCAGGTAGCTCTCCACCCTCCCTGGGCGGCCCCCATGCCCTATGCTGCTGCAGCAGCAGTGTGGTTTGGCCAGCCCTCCCCCAGGGGTGCTAGGCTCCGGGCTGGGAGGCCAGCCCTGGAGCTCCAAGCAGCTTGGGCAGCTGCTGTGGCTGGGGATGGACGTGGGCCTGGTCTCTCCTGTGGGTCCCCAGCAGGCCCTGGTATCTCCTCTCCACTGCTGCCCCACCCGAGCCTCGCTCGCCCAGTGATCCAGACCCCAGCTAGGTAAACTGAGGCCTGGAGGAGATCCCAGGCAGGCAGCAGAGTCCAGATCCCAGCTGGGGAGACTCAGGCACAGTGGGGTCCCAGGCAGGCAGCAGAGCCCTCTCCTCAGTCCTCTCCCGGGCAGCTCTGACCCAGTCCCACCTCAGGGGACACGTGGCCAGACGGGGGGACATGGCGGAGGTCTCCTCGGAAAGGGGCTCTGACAGCAAGCAGGTGGAGACAGGGGTGCTCCTCTGGGGGCCGGGCCTCACCCACACACACCCCCCTGCAGGCACGCCGGTGAACCGCATCCCGATTATGGCCAAGCAGGTGCTGGACCTGTTCATGCTGTATGTGCTAGTGACAGAGAAGGGCGGCCTCGTGGAGGTCATCAACAAGAAGCTGTGGCGGGAGATCACCAAGGGCCTCAGCCTGCCCACCTCTATCACCAGCGCCGCCTTCACCCTGCGCACCCAGTGAGTGGCTCCCAGGCGCCAAGTCCTGCCCACCCGCTTTCCCCAGGACGTCCAGCTTGAGAGGGGGCGTTGGGGGGCGTGGTTAAGCACCTGGCCCTCGCCGAGAGCTAGGAAGCTGAAGCCCTCGGAGCGGCTCTGAGGGAGCAGGGCCTGGCCATGCGCTTCTGCAGAACATGACAGTGTCCAACACGCGTGTGCAGGGCCTGTCCGAGGAAGGGTGTCTGAGTGTGTCTTCAGTGTGCGTCTCCGTGCCTGAGTGTGTCTACGTGTGTCACCGCGTGTGTGTGTGTGTGTGTGTGTGTGTGTGTGTGTGTCTGAGCGTCTGTGTGTGTATGAAATGAATAGGAGTCAGCAGACCTGGACGAACATGGATGAGGAAGAAAGGCCGGGCCACGGAATTGGAAAACTCGTCTGCGGGAACCCCCAGGCCGGTCTCGAGACGGTGTGGGGCGGCCAGGGCCTGGCCGACGGCGGCTTGTAGGAGCAATATCAGTCATGGGGGGGTGAGGATACGAGAGCCCGGGGTCACCTCTCTGCCGCCCGCCCGCAGGTACATGAAGTACCTGTACCCCTACGAGTGTGAGAAGCGTGGCCTCAGCAATCCCAGCGAGCTCCAGGCCGCCATCGACAGCAACCGGCGCGAGGGCCGGCGCCAGGGCTTCGGGGGCTCACTGTTCACCTACTCACCAGGCGGGGCCCACAGCATGCTGTCCTCGCCCAAGCTGCCCATGTCCTCCCTGGGCCTGGCCGCTGGTACCAATGGCAGCTCCATCACCCCAGCCCCAAAGATCAAGAAAGGTGAGAGGCTGGGGGGACCTGGGTGCGCTCCCGCCCCAGGTGTGGGAGCCCAGCTCTGGATCACCAAGATGACAGGCCCCGAGGTGGCAGAGGGAACCGCCTTCAGCAGTCCGAGAGTGCGGCCAGGGCAGACATTGCTGATCCATCACTGTATTAGTCTGGGTACTTTGGAGAAACAAATCCACGGCGACTCACGTATAAGAGAGAGTTTTATGCAAAGAAAATGTGCATCACGAAAACATCCCAACCCAATGCTGCCCAAGCCCACAAGTCCAACATTAACCCATACCCAACACCAGTCCACAAAGTCCTTCACCTCACAAAACAGAGGCAATGATGCCGACTGCAGGAGGAAAGCTGAATCCGTGAACATGTAAGCATCTCAGCACTGGCAGGGGTCTCCACACGGCTGCTCCAGCACCCAGGGCTGCATCGGGATAGGTCCATGCGGCTTCTCCTTGGGGATGTCTTGGAGGAAGTCGATCTTGCAAGCTGAAGCAGGGAGCTGCTAAGGCAGCTGCACCCGATACAACCATCACAAAACAAGAGACCTGAGAACTAGAAAGGCGAGGCTTCACCACCCATTTATCCCTCCACCTTTCAACCAGCCCCACATGTGATTATCGTCCAGGCTGGCACAATTAACTAACTCAATCACCATCCCGTGGCCCTGCATCTACCCACGGCAGACAGTCACAACCACTCTCCTCCCACGGCACACACGGCTAACCACTTAGCCCTGGGCCCTGGCAGGCATCACTGAGACAGCGTTTTCCACTAGTTCCTTCACAAGGAGCCTTGGCTCGGTGGGCTAAGCATTGAGCTGCTGACCGTTCACATGCAGGAGAACGACGAAGCAGCTGCCCCGGGGCAGATAGACAGCCTCGCTCTGTAGGGTTTCTCAGGCTGTGAACCTGGAGGGGAGCCTCATCTCTCTATGGATCAGCTGGTGGGTCTGAACCGCGGAGCTTGCTGTCAGCAGCCCCACGCCTAACCCAAAGCGCCACCAGGACATTGAGAAGCTGGCTTCTGCCAGCCTGTGCCTGTGGCAGGCATTATTAATAAATCATGGCTCCCCAGTCCCACACCGAGGCAGGCACGACCCATTGAGTGTGTCCTCACTCCTCCCGGGGCAGGCAAGACTAATTGTGCCCACCGTCTCAGCATACCCCGGCCCCTCTGCACCCACCAGCAGTGGATCAAACTAGCCTCTCAGCCGGTCCCAAAGTGTGCTTGGCTCTCTTTGTGAACACAGGGGGGGCATGAGCCCTTGTAGATCTGCTGGGAGGGGGCAGAGTGGAGGCTTCCTCGCATGCACGAAGGTTTGCCCGCTAGCGACCGCCAGCTCCGCCCGAGGCAGACATCACCAATCTATCCCGGAGGGCCTGGGGTGTTATGTGTGCCCGCTTTCCCGGAAAGGGGTGAGCACCCTGGTCGGTGGCGGTCTTCAATCAGGGTGCACGTTCCCGCCGCCCCGGGCCACTCTGGACACTCACGCTCTTTCCCCTCCCCAGAGGAGGATGCGGCCATCCCCATCACGGTGCCAGGGCGGCTGCCCGTCTCCCTCGCCAGCCACCCCGTGGTGGCGGCGCAGGCCGCTGTGCAGGCAGCGGCAGCAGCGGCCCAGGCAGCCGCCCTGGAGCAGCTCCGAGAGAAGCTGGAGTCCGGGGAGCCCCCCGAGAAGAAGATGGCCCTGGTGTCCGATGAGCAGCAGAGGTTCATGCAGCGAGCTCTGCAGCAGAACTTCCTGGCCATGACTGCGCAGCTGCCCATGAGCATCCGGATCAACAGCCAAGGTGCGTGCCCGACCCCGCGCTCCCGCCCTGCAGAGCAAGCGCACAGGGGAGACTTGGGCGGCTGCGGGGTCTGCGTGCGGGCCGGGTGCCCGCCTTGCCCACCACGGAGCAGAGCACCAAGGGGTGGCCCAGGGCGGGGGGCACGCATAGGTTGAGCGCACCACTGTCCTGGCCGCTGCTGAGTGCCCATTCTGACCCGAGCAGACGCCCGGGGACATGTCTGCGGCCGACAGCCAGCCGAGGGCAGACTGCTTGCGGGCAGCCAGCTGTGTGGGTCAGCTCGGCGGCGGGGACACGGCGGACCGGCTGGTGGCCTCCGGGTCGGGAGGCAGACGGGAAGCAGGTGGTGGCCCGGGATGTGTCTGGGACGTGTTATTTGTGGTCAGGAGCTGTGAGTCACTTCTGACTCACAGTGACCCGATGTACAACAGGCCGAAGCCCCACCCTGCGGGCCCTGCCCCAGCCTCGCAGTCATGCCTGTGCCGAGCCCATGGTTGGCCTCACGTCCCCTTAGGAGCCTTCCAACTGGGGACTGGTCTCTCTTGACCACATGTCCAAAGTCCGCGAGTCGAAGTCTCGCTGCCATTGCCTCTGGAGCACTCTGGGCATACCTCTTCCTGGACAGATCTGTCTGTCCCCTTAGCGTCCGCAGGCCGGTCAGGCTTCCCTGCCGGCGGCACCAGAGTTCCAATGGGTGGTTTGTCTTCTCCCCGCAGCCTCCGACAGCCGCCAGGACGCAGCCGTGCACCTGAGCACCAACGGCAGCAGCAGTATTAGCATGTCCGTCGAGATCAACGGTGTCATGTACACAGGTGGGGCCTGGGCCACATCTCCCCATGGGCGCGGGCCGGGCTGCCCGGGGCTGAGACCACAGCAGAGGGCTTCTCAGGCTAGGTGGTCAGGGGCAGGGCCCTTCCCCCGACAAGAATCCGGACACACTTACCTGCACGGTGCGTTCCAGCCCACCAGCCGGTCTGTGGGAGGAGGGGAAGGCTGCCCGTTCCCCTCAAGAGTTACAGTCTCAGAACCCAACAGGGGCAGTTCTAATCTGCCCTGTGGGGCTGCTGTGAGTCAGGTTGGACTCCAGGAAGCCTGTGAGGGAGCCTGCTCTGCGTGGTGATCAGCACACAGTGCCCACTGCCCCCCATCCATCAGTCTTTCCACCTGTGTGGGGTCCCTGAGGCTGTAGTGAGAGAGAGATGGTGGATTACTCCATGTGAGTGTGAGTGTGAGAGATGGCGTATTACTCCGTGTGAGTATGAGAGATGGTGGATTCTCCATGGGGGTGAGATGGTGCATTACTCCATGTGAGTGTGAGTGAGAGATGGCGTATTACTCCGTGTGAGTATGAGAGATGGTGGATTACTCCATGTGAGTGTGAGTGAGAGATGGCGTATTACTCCGTGTGAGTATGAGAGATGGTGGATTACTCCATGTGAGTGTGAGTGAGAGATGGTGCATTACTCCATGTGAGTGTGAGAGATGGTG